ACACACACACATGAATTCCTCAAATGTTTCTATTTGTTAACAAAAGCTTAATAAAAACCAGCAGCACACTTGACTGTCTGGACATGTCTTTATATTGCTAAATCCTACGTGCTGGAGTATGTTGAGTGTGTGTGTTTGTGGGTGTGGATGTGTTTGTGTGATGGAATTATTGGGCTTTACCTTGTCTGTATAGATAACTTACATATATATATTGGACTGCTAATGTACTTTATCAGCCAGTTGGTAAGAAAAATCATTAATTCTCCAAGGCCTCTGCTTTCCACCTTTCATCAGAGGAAGTGACAGGCTGCATTACTCAGCGAGTGCTGTAATATGTATCATTTCATAGATGGAAGGCCACTGGGTTTTCTTTACTGAAAATGATGTAAGACCAGAGAGAAGTGTAACAGAAGTGACGTAATTTTTATTTGGCTTACTTAGGGCAATCAATTACTGCATGCGCGCGCGCATACACACACACACACACACACACACACACACGCACGCGCGCAGTTTTCACATCCACAGCAGGATTTTCTGTGGTCGGGGTAAGGTACGGCCCTTCTGACTAAAGAAAGAACACCGTTGTGATGTTCAGGGCTTTCTCACAGGGAAATCACTGTCTCTGTTTTCACTTCACAAAAGTACAATACTCTATCTCTCTCGCCCTCTTTCTGTTTTTCTCTGCGTACAGAAATGAAACAAAAATTGCTGACCATCAGCAGAAGAGACGAATGAAACCTCCCCTGGCTGTGCTTTTGCTGCCCCCTGCAGCAGACTGTCCTAAATGCACTGCTGCAACTGCAATTTCACTATCAGAACAAGTGCAAACACAGACTTCCCCACTCTAATTATAGAGGTAAGTGACAAAACCTTTCCATACACGCGATTTACTACACTGTACGGTTAAATAAAGGAACTTGTTACATGGGGTTTCTTTTACTGTGATGAAACTGTTGTGTCTCATTTCCCATGTTGTTTTAAATATAAACAATATCATTTTGGTCCGTTACCCCTAATCAACTTCATTCCTGAAGAAAAGAAAGGCAAAAGAAAAAAAAGGCGAAAGAAAGAAGACAAGAGGCTGGATTATTTAACAGGGTAATATTACAATTATACTGTAATGCCACATTTTTGTTGTGCTAATTGGCAATACTGCTTCCCTCAAGTGAAGTTGTGGTAATAACATGATATGTAATGTAAATGTGACCCGTAGGGTAAGTGTGGTCTAAAAATTTTAAACCATTGAACATTAATAGGTGTCTGGTTTGTTTTCAGTACTTGACACTTTGATGCTCTTCCTAAGGGGGACACAAAAAATACTACGCTCAGTAATGGCAATGTAATCATGAAGTAATGATACAACAGAAAGTCCAAAGTTAAGCTAAGCTAACTAGCTGCAGGCAGTAGCTTAATATTTACAGTAGCCTACAGACATGAGAGTGGTATCAATCTTCTCATCTAACTCTTGGATAAGCATATTTCAATAAATGTCAAACTATTCCTTTAGTAGGGAATATCTAATTAACATAAACTTAATAGATCAGTTATAAGCCTAGGAACAACTATTGAGGTGCCAGGTTGGATTTATGACCTTACCTCCTGGAAAACAGCTGTAGAGGATCTGCACCAAAATCTAGGCTATTTAAAGTTCACATTTAGTCTATTTTTTGTGCCAACCAGTTTAAATGTACTACACAGAGTTTTTAACTGGTTATGAAACAGTCTCAGTGTAACACTGATGTCTTTACATGACCTACATTAGTAAACAAGAACATCAGCAAGAAGACTGGCTATTTGTATATTCTTAATACCGGTCACCGGGTCCGAATTCACGTAAAATCAGATGGAACGATTTACAGCAGGCAGACCAGAAGAGCCAATGTTTACATTTTCCCAGGCAAAGAGAAATACAGACATTGATAGGGCACAGGTGAAAAAAAACGTGTCAACCTTGGTCGGTCATTCAACAGAAAGGATTCAAAACCAATCCTGAATAGGCCCTCTTTCTCACAGACAGGTATGTAATATGTCTATTTTATTCGGCTGTGTACATTCCATGGAGGTAAAGGTCACAGTGGACATTACTGTAAAACATCTGGCTGGTAATGTAACATTGTATGTTGGCCTTACTACCAAGCTGTATCTGGCTGGTGGTTAAGAGGACATGACATAGTCTAACTAATGTTGATAACTTTAGCATTCTTGCCAAAATTATTATTATCGAGCAACCTAATCTGGTAATTGAATGCTTTGTGTAACCTAGGTGTATGAACTGTACTAAAACAAAGTTTTCTTTGTTTCAGCATCTTCATATTATTGTTATCAATCATACAGAGCCACAAATAGATAGTTCATCTCATCACTATGTATCCTGTAAACATTTGTTTAACCATCTACATCTACTTTCCGTTGCCTGAGGGCAAAGTTTTCTTAAGCCCCATATTCAGTAATTGTTGTTTCTTTAAATGATTGCAATCAATTAGAATTGTCAATAAACTGTCTTGAACAGTCCAATAATGTGTGGGGGTCACTATGAAGCACCATTTGAAGGTGGAACTTCCTTTTCTGAAACTTGGTCACAGGAGCAAGTGGTGTGAGAAGAAGGCAAGATTATTTGGTTTAGAAATCTAATTTAAAATGACATGAACTTTAAATAAAAATGATGTTGGTATGAAGGTTTAGAGAAGACTTTTGTCAGGTTTTTGACATTTGTTTTTATTTTGCATGTTCAGAAATTCAGTGTTTCATTTTTTTGCCTCATGGCAACTTGTGCGATAAGGGCCACTTTTCAAGGAGGTCTTTAATGACCATGTTTTGGATGTTATCACATATTTTTACATGTTGTAGTTCACAATATAAGCTCTAAATATAGTTGTATTTGTTTATTTATTAAATTTTACTTATTTTTACACATTTCCACAGATAAATTGTTCTATGTAACTAAAGAGCAGGATTCGTCTGTTAGGTCAATCCCATCTGACAGCAGGGACAGTGAGGAGGAGTGGACTAGAGAAAAAGGCTTGAGCAGAAGTAAAAAAATAACTTCTTTCAGTAGCTCTGGTTGTCATTCAAATGATAGGTTTATAAAATGATAGGTTTATATGGCAGACAATATACAAAAAGGGGTCAAATATCAAGCCTTAATTATTCTTGTTGTATTTTTGTTGCCAGTGGAAACTTACTGGTATCTAAGTATCTGTCAATAAAAATATATAAAAAGGGAGAAGGAAGATGAATACACAGATGAAGATGACTCCCATCTCTGACTAAGTTTGGGTATCATGAACCATTTCCCAGAACCACGGATTTGATAAGAAACGTGCATTTGGATTTTGAACTTGATTTGAACTTTCTGCATATTTCAGGGGTGCTCCGACTGAACTGAAGTGAGCATTTTATTATTTAAAAAAGTGTCACTTATCTGCAGGGACCTGCTAAGCGGATCTAATGCCATGTCATTTGTTACGCAGTACCTCAACAAAGCAACATCTCACACTCAGGCACAAAACACAGGTGAGCAGACATTCACCTTTTAAACTGAAGGGAAACGAATGATGTCTACAGATTATTCCAATATATATTGTTCTTAGAGACGAGTCCCCAGAGACCCCCCTCTAGTGCAGAGACTCCTTTCACTTTAGCCATGAAGATGAGCAAGGAGGAAGTGGATAAAGATCTGTAGTGAAGGGGTCAGAACCAGAACCAGGAGCCAATAAAATTGAAATCATTAAGTAGAATTGGAAACAGATTTAGAATCGATTAAAGTAAAATGATACCCAACCCTATCCCGAACCAGCATGTCAGCTTGGACAGTAGGCTACCTCACACAGGAACACCCAAAGTAATATGCAAAAAGTGTACACAGCAGAGAACTGCTTTTTGAAGTTTCACAGGGAGTGAAATGTCATTACATAAATAACATTATATGACAGGACACACTACATGATAGCTACAAACCGTCTGTGTCAAATCCAATTTATCAATGTGTATCTAGTGTTTTTTCGTTTTTACTTAATGATCTTGACTGTTTTAAAAAATATTTATGATTTTGCATCACTGTCTGAGCATTATCTTATGATCTGTGAATTCATAATAGTCTGTATGATTCTGTACCATGGTTGCAAAAAATATTTTGGGGCGGGAATGTCCAAAAAAATTTTTAAAAATAGAATGTTAAAAAAATAGAAAAAGTTTTATCAATAGAATGTCCCAAAATTGCGGAAGAGGATTTTTTCTCAGAATTCTGACTTTAATCTCAGAATTCTGACTTTAATCTCAGAATTTAAAAAAAACATTCACATGTGGCCCTAATCCTCTTCCGCACAAAATGAACCAAGAAATGATGTGGAATCATTTTTTTTCATGTACCATCAAAAGATTTTCTTTTTTACGCATGTGTATCTTTACCTAAGCTCGAGCAGAAGAGGATTAAAAACACAAGTCTATTTAAAAATAAGTTGCGTCTTTCTTTCACACTTCCAAAACAAATGCAGGTGCTGGCACAGATCAAGATCTTTATGATAGGACGCGGAGGAAACATTGTCCACAGGGGCCGCCAGAATCAAAGCTCCTTGTAGTTGCTTTAATGAGCGAAACAAATTATGTAATGATAAAAGTGGTAATGATGTATACCCTGATATTAAAGTAAACCTGATGATTTCTAGAGATATGGGGCCAGTCCAGGCTGATATCATTTTTATATTAAATATTAATATATTCTTGGTAACAGCCATTAAAGCCAGCAAACAAACAAAATGAAGGTGAAAGGTGAATCATAGTGATGGAGAAATATCTCCCAAATTACATCCAACCACCGTCCCCGTGACACATACCTGATGCTCTTCCTTTCTTGGAAATTACACCCACATCACGTTTTACCAACGTAATGGGAAGAGAGAGTGAGTGAGAGAGAGAGAGAGAGAGAGAGAGAGAGAGAGAGAGAGAGATACACGTCGTATCCCTGAGGGTCTCTTTCGCAACCCGTCTGGAGTTTTTCGCTCCACCGTGGAACATATCTTCAAGGTGACGGATGTCCTGCAACGAGTCAGGGCGAGCCCTGCAGACTCTGTGATGAAATTAAAAATGCATAAAAAAGACAATTTACTTTGACAGTGAAGCAACGCGTGCTGCGGGGAGAATATTAAATACTGTGGGAACTTGTGGATTTAGTTGCAGTCTCACCGCAGCTCTGCACATGAGTAGTTCAAGGGCGCTCCCAAGTTTCTGATGCCAACAAGTTTTTTACTCCGACTCCACCCGCAGCCAGTGATCATGTTGGATAAATGTGGACTGCAGAGCGCCGGTGTGCCCGTCTCCAGCGCGGACCTCCAGCTTAAACTAACGGACAACAAGAGTAGCCTGGCCGCAGCCGGGATGGGGATGGAGAACGGCACTGGGAAGAGACTCATAGAGATAACTGGACCGGCTTTATCCAAAAGAAAACTTCTGGTCGGTTTAGACCTCCTCTGCCTCTTCCTTGGTAAATATCCACATATACACATCATATTAGATGTACAATATAATTAATTCCAACAAAATAGTGCCATTATGACATATCTGTAAGTCTGTGTTTGTGTCAAAGAGATGCAGATCTGTGGCCAATGTAAAAGCCATGTGGAGTTAGGTTATGGTTTGCAATGTTATTTTGTCCATCCATAATATATATGCTATGTTAGTATGCAAATGCAGACAATGCAAATTCTCAAATCAGTAAACCAATACTGAGTTTATACCGAGTTAACTTAGCTTAATATATATATATATATATATATATATATATATATATATATATATATATAAGATAATACATTTGAATATTGTTAGTCGTGAAATGTTGCTCGGAAAAGCAACCTGATACAATCGCTGTAGGCGTTAAGAAATTGTGATTTTTCACTATTTCCTTACATTTTATGGACCACCTGATTAACCGACGAATTGAGAAAATTATCGGCAGAGTAATAGGCAATGAAAGTAGGCTAATCATTAGTTGCATATTTATTTAGTACCCATTTATATTGCAGCTATAAAGAATCCTCCCAAAAGTTGTTATTCCTTACAATTAAAGGTAGGCTATCTCTAGTGGAAGTTAACTTCAAGCATTTTAGTTCTGCTCCGCTTTGTTTTCATTCCTTTATATGTAGTCATTCTGCTGCCCTGCAGAATATGAGCCGCAAATTAACGCCAGGTTTGAAAGCAGAAAGAGGTAAGAACGAGAGAGAGAAAAAAGAAGGAAGAAAGAAAGTTTTTCAAGTTCGCTCTCCATCTACATGTAGGCTGTCCGCGGCTCTCTGTTTTCCACTCGTGCGTGCTCTCGAGCTCTCCGTGCCAGCTGGTTCTTGCATTGCCCAGGGACCTCTACAGTTTCCATGACAACCCCAGTTCTCAGGGTAGAGCAGGGCCACGGGGAATTGTGTTTGGTCTAAATAAATAAATGCACGATTCACCGTGTGCGTGCGCGCGCGCGTGTGCACACGAGTGTAATTGTTGACCCTCCCTCCCATGCTCCCTATATGTGACAGGAGGGTGGTTATGTAATGATGGCTAATTGGAAAAAGGTGGATGGAGAGGTAGTCTGTGTTAAAAACAGATTGGACATGTGCATGAAGGGAGGGAGCCATGCTAGAAGTATCTGTCTCTCTCCCCCTCTTTCTCCTGTGTGTCTGCAGGCATGCAAGACAGAGAGAGAGAGGGAGAGGGAGAGAGGGGAAGAGAGAGGGAGAGAGAATCAGAGGGAGAGAGAGAGAGAGAGAGAGAGAGAGAGAGAGAGGGAAGGCAACCCAGAGACAAACAGAGACAGTGTAAAGGCTGCTTCTGGCTCTGGTTTGCTGCAGCATTTACTCTTTGTTTTGAAGGGAAGAGTTGAACTAAAGTCACAAACAACCCCCGCGCGCACGCACACACACACACACACACACATATGCAGTTCAAACTGGGTCTCTATTGAGCTCTGCCTGCTGTCTATTTCCAGACCCTCACATTCCTAATAGTTGTCTAACATGTTAGGTTCTCCAGAGAAAAACTGAGGGTTCCCACCCTTATTTTTCTGAAAAACTATTCCTCGTTTGACCTTCCCTCCTTTTCTCAGTCTCTTCACTAATGTCAAATTCCCTGTCAGTTTTATTAGCCTTGAATTTCGGTTACCTACATCTATCTTTTTAATTTTAGGCCTTATTACTTTCATCTGTGATTAATGTGATACTTAATGTGCATCTCTTGGTGTGTGACAGGGAGACAAGGGCATCAAATTTGCAGTGGTTTATTATGGTACTACGGTGTTAGTGAACATCAATGCTTTTAGGGTACTCAATGCTTTTAGGGTACTGGCAAAAATGTGTCCATGGTGGGTGTCCAAAGCTGTCACGTACCGAAAGGCTGGCATAGAAAAATTCTTACTTTTTCCCATTTTAGGCTGTATTTTTTTTGCACAGCTGCTTGTGCTTAGACAACATTTAAAATATAAGAAACATCTTTTCATGGCGCCTACAGCCATGTTACCAGCTCTGTGAGACTGTACTTCTTTCATGGTAGTCCATCCGATAATAGTTGAGAGTTACTCAAAACCACAAATGTCAACCTCATGGTGGTGCTAGAGGAAAAGTCAGGGGATGTCCAAAGTCAGTAGGACTCATCCTCTGAGGACGATGAATCCATCCTATAGTTGTTGAGATATTTCAGTCTGGACCAAAGTGGTGAACTGACTGACATTGCTATCCCCAGAGCCACACCTCTAGCTAGGCTCAAATATACAAGAAAAACATCTTTTTCCTCAAAGTAAATTATTGAAGAAAATCTGATTTTGGTTTTAGTACACAGGCGCCATTTAGTATCAAAATAAGTCAAATGATTCCCAGCCTTTGTCTGCACATGCAGTATGTAGCGATAACACAGAGGTGACTAAGGTTGCAGATTCCTCCCCAGAGCCCCTTCTCATCCTTTTGCTCCTCTTTTCTCCTCCTACGCATCATCTCTAGTTTCTCATCACAATGAGGAATCTATACTCCCGCTGGGGATTGTTGTGATATCCTTCTTGGTCCAATTCCATTCATATTCCTCTTCCTCCTCCTTCTGTGCAGCTTCCATCCCTTTCTTTGCATGTGAACTGAAGGCCATGAGACCTTACAGAAGGGGCTTCATGTGCGGCGACCCCGGAATCACCTATCCTTACCTGCACCGAGAGGCCATACCAGACGAGTTACTCATTGCGGGTGGCATCATCATCACCGGCCTCACTGTGAGTACTCATCATCCTGATCATCCCTGTCATAGCAGTCAGTCCATCATTCATTGTACACCATGTCCCAGCTCACAAGGAGCATGAGGGGAATGTGATATGACGGTTCTGACTACGTGTCCACCACCAGATCGCCCTCGGGGAGTGTTACCGGGTTCGTTTCAGAGGCGTCAGCTCCAAGGCCTTTGTCAAGAACCTGTATGTGTCCTGCCTGTACAAGGAGCTGGGCTGCTTCCTGTTCGGTTGCTGTGTTGGCCAATCACTGACCAACATGGCCAAACTAAGTGTCGGGCGGCTGCGACCACACTTCCTGTCTGTGTGTGGTGTCACGTACGCGTCGCTAAACTGCACCCCTGGCACCTACGTTGCAACCGTGAACTGCCACCAGCCTGACCACCGGTTGGAGGAAGAGGCCAGGTGCGTGTGTGTGTGTTTATGCACATTTGTTGTGTAATGTGCTTTTGTTCTGCGTTGTTCTAATCTCTTCTCCAATTTTTTTAGGAAGTCCTTCTTCTCTGGTCATGCTTCCTTTGCAATGTATACAATGCTCTATTTAGCGGTGAGTATTTCTTTCTTTCTATCCATTGCATTGTCTTCACCACATATTCTCACACACACACACACACACACACACACACACACTCACAAACACAATTTGACTATCTTTCCGATTTCCAATTACCATCTCTCTACAAAAAGCTGAGAGAGAATGAATGAAACAGGCACCCATCATCGGTCCAGTTAGCAGCAGAAATCGGGAGAATGAAAGAGTATAGGGAGAAAGACAGGAACTGAAAGGAGAAATGGGACAAACAGAGACAGCTTTGTTCTGCTGTGGGAGGAGTGTGACCTCGCCTCACTGCCTCACTGCTCTCCTCCATTGTGTGTGAATGTGTGTGTGTGCAAGCCTCTGCATTAATATGCGTATTTATGCAAGTGGCTGCATACAGTATGTACCTATGTGCATGCAACATATTAATATGTGTGTGTGCCATTACTTTCTCCAACTGTTGCCCTTCTTTTTGTTACAACAGCTCTGCATTGCATTTAGCTTACGAAAAAGGGGGTGATTAAAAACAAGGCACATCCAATGCCCTGCTGCACCAATAAGATCCAAAAGGCTTGTTTATGTTTGTTTTCACCATAACTTGAGAGCAGCATCAATCTCTAGCTAGATCTCCAACCAGGCAAAGTGGGTAACTGCGCTGTCGCAGGACTGCAATAAGCACAGCCAGTCATTGACTGACCTACCTAACTACCTATCTGCACACACTCTGCCCTTGCATGCACTGCACATGAAAATGTGTTTTAGGGGAGTGGTTTTGGACGGAGGCCTGAAGGGAGGGGGTGGTATTTTTTTCCGATGGGATACTTTCAAAATGTAGTTGTCTTTTGCAAGTCTCTCCAGTGTTACCTACCCTAGCATTTGTGGTAATTCAGACATCACCAGCATTATTATGTAATCTTGGAGCGCCATCTTGGAGAGAGGCACTGACTTAAAATCAAGTTTTAAGGCTATTGTTATTTCATTGTGGACTTTTTGGACTGTAGGTGCAATTAACAGCATTCAATCAAGTTGTCACAAAAAAACTACTACCGTACTGATTAATACATACAGAAGTGTTGAGTCTGACACCCCTCTCAGTACTGATTTATTTAGTACTGTGGGGATTGTACAAATTGCTGAGTTTGCATTAGCACAAATGGCATCAAGAGCTATTTTAAAAAGGAGTAGATAAAAAAAGCAGGCATAAAACAGGTAAATTCCTGAGAGTTTCTCCAAATGTTCAAAATTACCCATCAATGAATAAGGCCAAATATCTTATTATTGTTTTATTTATTTATTTATCTTATTATTTTTCTACGCACTAAATAACATCACATTCATTTTTGTCATGCAGTTTTACCTGCAGGCACGGTTGACATGGCGTGGGGCTCGGCTGCTGAAGCCGGCACTGCAGTTCTTCCTGGTTCTGCTGGCAGTCTACACAGGTCTGACCCGCATCTCAGACTACAGGCACCACCCATCTGATGTGCTAACAGGCTACATACAGGGAGCCCTCACTGCTTACTGGGTGGTCAGTATACCTTTGCTTGCTTGTTTTTGTACATCTGTGCGTGTCCACACGTCAGCGTCTGTTAGCGTCTTATGGTTGGTTATGTGTTTGTGTGTTCCCCAGGCCTTCCACATCTCGTCCATGTTTAAAACCTCGAGTTCAGATCTGTCTCCGACTGAGACCCTGGACAGCCCCTTGTCCCCCCACCATACTGTCTGCTAAACCTCACCTCCACCAACCTTTGCCTGTACCATCCACCTGCTGCCTGATGTCTGGTTAGGATAGACAAGAGATTTGAAGAATGTGAGACCATTTCCCGTAAGTCAAACCACATACCTCAGTATTCGGACAGAGTGTGTGTGAGAGAGAGAGAGAGAGAGAGAGCGTAGAGCTTGTGAGAGAATGTATGTGACCCATAAAAAAAAACATGTGAACTGAGAGAAAGGAAGAGGGAGGGTACTGAGGATAATCAACCCTTTGTCCTTGTGACTGACCGTAACTTTACATGTGATACACCTGTGAGAGGAATCCTGAGCACACAGAAACCACTACCGCTCTATACGTCATCTGTAAATATATACTGATTTTGTACAACTCAAATGATACTGTAAAGCACGTTTTGATTTCCATGTTAGTATTATTAATTACCACTTTGCAATGATTTGGCACGTAGGATGTAATATATTTTGTACAAATGTGATATATGTTGTAGCTATTTTTTTTTATTTTTACATAAACCCAGTGAATGTAATGGTGTTGAAGGAAAGCACAAATAGTGAGAAAGCAACTGATTGTTGTACTACTAAGAAAAAGTAGGTTGTGTCCGTCCTGTTTCAATTCTGTGAGCAGTGTGTTGTACATGTAGTTTATTAATGAGAGAATGAGTATGAATATGTCTACACAATATATATGTATATATGTATATCTACACACATATATATATAAAGCATGTTTGAAAAGTACAGACGCTACTAGCTCTCTGAAAAAATTTTTATAAAGCTTTTTTGTTACTAGACTACTTACCAGTCCAAGAGCACATGGATCATTAAAGAAAAAAAAATGTTTTTTTTCTAAATCTTTGTCTCTTTAAGTTTTTAAGTTTGTGATTGCATACACATTTTGAGAATAACATGTTTTTAAAAATATAATTATTATATTATTACAAGTATTATTGTAAATCCTGAAGTTCAAAACAGAAGACACAGAGAAACATTAGGATTCATGTGGGGTCATGTTTCTGGCCAAGTCCAATATTCACCTTCTTTTAGCTCTGTTTTTGGTCTCCACCAACCACTGGAGAAAAATATTTGTCTCTGTATTTGTTAAATGCCCCAATATGGTCACAGCTAGTCACTAACTTCATATGCCTGCCAATTGGTGCCAGGCAGGGTTTTTTTTGCTTAAAAGAGCTGCCTGTTGCTGCTGGATATCAGGTTGATAAGAGCGGTTTGACTTAATTAGAACCAAAACAATTAGCTGAAAGGCACTAAAATGCTGAACTAGAGCCGAGGGAACTACAGAATCTGGTGATAACACTCTCTGAGTTTTTCACTATATGAACACCTTTTACATCACATAGTCATGTGACTATTTTTCATAGGATCGTAAACAGCTTCAGCCACATTGATTATCGGAAATTCAGCTTTTTCAAAATGTTCAAATAAGTTTCAAATAAGTCCACACATCTGCATTTAAACTTTTATTTATTAGCCTTAATTTAATAATGCAATAAAGTTGTGGACCTTATTTTACTCTCTGTCTCTGTCCTTTTTACCTTTTTGGACGAACATGTTCTACCTTGGTTTCAATATGATTTGTGTAAATTGAGGTTGAAAAAGTACAATATTTCCCTCTGTAGAACTATAATGCAGCAGAAAATAGAAATACTCCAAGAAAATTAAAGTACAGTACACAACTTGACTAAATAAACTACTTTAGTTTTTCTTATCATTATACGCCCCATCATTCTCGCCTTCCCTTCCTTTTCCACGGTGGATATCTTTCCCCTTTTTCTGAAACTCTCCCTCTCTCTCTGTACATCCACACAAAGAAAAAGACAAGAACATTTATTTCACATGTTTACTTGAACTTCAATAGCAATACAAGACAATCAGAACACTTGAGGTCGATATGTACAAGGATCTCAGGGGGTTGCAGAAAAGTTCTGAGGTTTCATGATCTCTGGCTTTGGAGTCAAGAGTTCTGCTGCAATGAAAAACTTCATGGCAACAAGTTCCATCACCAAGTTAGTGGCAGGTGGTGGGAAAGTCGGTGGAGGGGGGCAAAGGTTTTGGTCTTGATGTGAAAATGAGATTGGTCAAGAGTTCAAAATCAGTCGGAGGGGATGTGTGTAAGAGGCCCCCCAATTTGATATTGATAAAATGCTTCACTGTGATACATTAATTATACAAGAATGATGTATATACAGGCACGCACTCACTCACACACACACACACATACACACGCACGCACTCACAAACACACACACACACACACACACATGCATGCTCATCAAGCTACACCCACACACACACACACACGCACACACACTCGAGCGCTTTCCTCCTACAGTATGTAGCCTTGTAAAGCCACTATAAAGTCATGCACATGTTCTTTGAAAGGATTTTTTGGCAACACACAAGTGCTTCTTTGACACACTGCTTGCTTGCTACAGGGAGGGAAAACACCCAGCCAATGAACCAATAGAAACTTCGACGATGTGCAAATAAAGATAAGCACCGATGAGATGGGACGACACAGCACGGTTTCAGGAAAGAGAAAAGAGGGACAGGAAGAGGAGGAGGAAGAGTTATAAATGGATCACAGTCATAGAAAAAGTAACAAAACATGAAAAGGGGGAAGTCTCGTGGTGATCGGGAGATAGAAGCAGGGAGGAGCCATCACTGTCATCATCCTTACCTTCGTCATCCATCATTATCCTCAACAGTGTCATCATAATCATCGTCTTCATTTCCATCAGTATGATCATCATTATTTGTTGCTATCACCATCTTCCTCCTCCTGCCTGATTTCTATGCCCCGATCACCACCGCCCTAGTCACAGGCTCGTCACCCGCTGCATCTGTCCGTCGTCTAACTCAGAGGCGGGCTCTGCTGAGTACACTGCTTCTCCATTGGATGCCAGCGGCGGCGGCTGGTAGAAGGTCTGCAGGTGATTGGGCCGAGGGCCCAGCGGCGGTCGTCCCCAGGCTGTAGGGAAGTTCCAGGGCGGGTCGCTGGGGCTGGCCAGTAGGGCTGACCTCTTCTAGACCTTCAGGGCTGCTGTCGGGGTACGAGAGGGTCGGAGGGGAAGTGCGGGTGTAGAAGCGAGGAGGGGAGCTGCTTCGGCTGTACACCTGGGGGGAGTGGCGGGAATATAGATTGTTTGGAGGTGAGTTAGTTTCTCGAGGAGCAAAGATATTCGTCGGGGGAGAGCTTCGGGGGAAGATGCTGAGTGGGGGCGAGCGGCGGTCTCCGGGGTAGAGCGGGGAGGGGTTTGAATCTCGGGCGTAGATAGGTGAGGAGTCTGGGTCAAGGTCGAGGTCAGGGGTCAAAGGAAGAGTAAAGCTGTCAGAATCCTCTCGTTCGCCGTGGTACCGAAGAGATCCTCTTTTCCTTGCGTCAAGACCTCCATCTTTGCTCTCAAACAGGAAAGATTCATCCCTGTCTACATCCATCCCTCCCCTCCACACATCCAGTGCTCTATCCTTCTGTTTCTCATTTTCTCGTTCAATCCCTGCCCTCCATCCATCTCTGTCCTTCAAAAACAAGGATTCATCTTTCTCTCTCTCCATTCCACCTCTCCATCCTTCAATCCCAAAATCTTTCTTCTGTGTTATAAAAGTCTCCTCCTGCTCTGTCTCTGCTCCTCCCCGCCACACCTCCATCCTTCCACCTCTCTTCTCCAGCAGATGAGATTCCTCCCTCCCTCTCTCCTTTCCACCTCTCCATTCGTCTTTCTCGCCATCTCTCTTCTGAGAGGTAAAAGACTCGTCCCTCCCTTTCTCAGTTCCTCCCCTCCATTCATCCATCATTTCTTCTCTTTTTAAGAGAAATGTATCGTCCTTCTCTCTGTCCTGGACGCCTCTCCATGTCTCTGTGCCTGCCTCCTTCTGTTTCATCAGCAGCGGCTCTTCCAGAGCCTTGTACAGGGGCTCAGACTCCTGTGGGGGAGGGGGAGGAGGAGGCGGGAGGGGCCTGTCCCGGTAACGATCCCTATCTCTCTCCTTGTCTCTGTCTGTCCCTCCGTTCAACTCCACTGTGTTGCGGTGGCGGGACAGAGTACCAGAGGTGCGGCTGAGGGTGGAGTAGGGCCGAGCCTGAACATCAGGGGGACGAGCTTGCTGCCTATCCTGGAGCCCGCGGCGACCCAGAGTGCCTTGCAGCTGCGACCTGTCCCCATCTTTAAGCAGCTCACGAGACTCAGAATCTCCAGGAACACGTGAGTGTGACCAGCCATCTTGTAAGCGTGGTGTTGTGGCGTGGTCTTGTCCACGTGTTGTGGAATGTGTCTCAGCGTCTTGTGTGTGGTGCCTCGTATGCGCCCAGCCCTCCTGTGCATTGTGACGTGCGTTTGGCTGCATGGTGGCAGCCCATCCCTCTTGGGGAGGCGGTGCGTGTCGAGTTAAAGTGGCAGTGTGAGTGAGAGCTGCCCTGTCGTGGTGGTGAGGCCTTGCAAGGCTTCCGTAGCGCTCAGGAGGTACAGGCATAGGAACTGAGGGCCTCAGGTTGCTCTGCACCAGCTCTGAAATTATCATCTTTTCCAGCGCAGCTGCATCAGACAAGTTACGACGTATTCCAGCACCGCTGCTCAGATCTGTGGCCCCATGGGGGGGTAAGGAGGGCAGGGGAGATGTCATCCCCTCCTATCCCAACTCCTCCCTCCCTCAGAAGGTCAGTGCTGCCCACCACGCCGGCTCGGGACCCGGGTGTGGTTCCCAGACCATGTAGGGTGAAGGTGTTGGGGGTGTAGCCTCCGTTGAGACACACACTGTCCAACCCACAGGACTCCTGGTTCTGGGACACATTACCCTCTGTTGGAAGAAAAACGAAGATTACCGAACAGGGATAAAAGATTTGACATAAAGAGATTTACGCAAATGAACGTATGAATGAATAAGCAGAATTTAGGGTTCATGTGCCTACTGAGGATGTGGCTTTACTAAGAAGATTTGGACATTAATGATATTCTTTGATGAAATGTTCGGTTTTGTAGCCACATGGAAGAGATGTATGTTGAATGTCATGGTCTATGAATAATTACTGTGTGCAAACATTGCACAGACTGAAGCACAGTGCACGAGGGAGTGGCGCTCAATGATTTGAGTGAGCACAATAAAAGAGCTCATACTCTGCTTGTTTCTGAAGGTTCCTACAGGTCCACGTAAAGACAGAGAGACAGAGAGGGAAAGTGTCAAAACTATTTAAAAGACAAACATTTCATGGTCAAAAACTGAAAACAGAACATAACACTGATATAAAACAAAGATATTTCAGCAGCTTTTAATTCCAAACATTCAGAATGTAAAGAAACAGAAAAATGAGACATGTGCTGGGCATAAGTCTTAGGCCACTTAGGGTTCAATAAATTGTCCGCCCGATATTTTTAGCCAGTATGATCTTATCACAGATATACAGGCATCGGCATATAAGTAATGTATGCTGGCATCGGCCAGAAATATGAAAGATGTGTTTCAGCTAATTTAGAAACAACATCATCATCACATACTTTGCTCATGAGAGAACACTTATAAGTTTCTTTTTTTAAATGTAAGTGTCCTGCGCTGTACGTGTAATGGTCATAAATCTTTAATAACCAAATTTAAGGATCCTTATTAAAACAGCTTGCATATGTAATTTAATTATCAGATTAAAACTAGACAATTGTCCTCAAAAACGGCTCTATCCAACACAAAAACACAATAAAGTAGACAAAGTCAAAAGAGGAATATTTTCATTGATGAAAGTTGTCCTGACTGAACTGTCAAAAAGTATGTCTTAGTTCATGCTTCCTTTAATCAAGAAACTGGAGGGAATTACTGCTGGATTTTCATTTTTGAATGTATCTCTCTGGAACGGTGTTGCTGCAAGCTATTTTATAAGCTAACAAACTCATTTTTAAGTTACTAAATAGGTACAAAGACATTTTTCAGTGATGATTGAAGAGTTTCCCAAGGTGCTGTAAGTGCACACACATAAAAGGAAAGTTAAAGAAGCCAACATAAAGAGGGAAAGTTAAGTAAGCTGTGTAGAAAATGTAGAAACAAAATTAGGACAAATCACAGAAATTTGTAATGAAATGTACCTGTGGAGTTGAAGGGTTGATTGTATCCCTGGGCCAGCATTGTATCATAAGGAGAGGCTCCAGCATGCGTCTGTAACACCGGATTAGTAAGGAAATGGTTCCCCAAAGCAGCTGGGGATGGAGAGTGACAAAGGGAGAAAAATTAATACAACATTCTTGAACAAAAGAGGGGGAAACACTGAGATTTAAGACAAAAAGAAAAGCAGTAATCTTTACCTCGGTTAAGAGTAGGGGTGTTGTTAACGTCTGCAGCGATGAAAGAGGATTCAGTCTGTCTGCGAACAGTGTCGTTCCACATCCTCCTGATACGACTCTGGAACAGAAATATTCCACACAAGGTCAAAACTAACTCAGACAGAGAGAAAGGGAGACAAAGACCTGGAGACATAGTGTTGTAATGTACCTGTCTGTTAGCAGTAGCTCTCCGACTCTGGCTGCTGGT